CATTGCTATATGTTTATCAATAAAACTTTGAAAAGAAAAAAAAAGAAATAAAGCAACAACAGATTTTGGAGAGGCTGTGGGGAAAGGGAACACTTCTCCACTGCTGGTGGAAGTGTAGGCTGGTACAACCTTTATGGAAATCAGTGTGCATCTCCTTAGAAAACTAGAACAGTAAATATCATTTAAGCCAGCTATTCCTCTCCTGAGAATTTTCCCGGAGGATCTGAAAATATCATATCATAGTTATATATGTGTGCCTATGATTATAGCAGGACAATTTGTGATAGCCAAATCTTGGAAACAACCAAGATGTCCATCACATGAGGAATGCATGAAAAATTTGTGTTATTTTGTATAATGGAGTATTACTCAGCTATAAAGAATGATAAACTCGAAGCCTTTATGTTTAAGTGGATGCCACTTGAAAATATGTTCATAAGTTAAATAAACCAGAAACAAATGTGTAAATATCATATAGTTTTGCTAGTATAAGAACTCAAAAGAAGAAATAAAAACAGAAAGGTATAATACAATTAAAAGGAAAGCAAGAACTTGAGGACTAGGCAATGCAGAGAGAGCAAGGCGAAGAGTTAGGAAACATGACAGTGGCAAGCTTTACAGTTATATATACAAGATGTATAAGGCAATGATCCTGAGAATCTTCAGATTTTTGCAACTAGCAGTTAATTAGAAAGATTCTCACCATGACTAACTATATAAACTGACACCTGTGAACTAAGCAACTACTCTGATGATGGCAATTTGAAATAGTAGGTTCTTCCTTGGAGTGCCTGTCATTCTGGTCTTCTGAATATGGGCTGCTTGTCATGACATGCCAGTTGCTGCTGTGCTGTCTCTCGGGGAGACGATTGTTTAAAAAGAAGGGGGTGGTGAATGAAGGCACGAGACAAGAAAAGGAGTGTTGCTGAACTCTCCTGCAACAATGCTGTATATGGCTAGATTTCTGGAGTTGTGTGTAAACATATATAATTCTTTATTCCTATTTTTAAAATATACTTTAATTTTTAAATTTTTGTCATATTCTGTAGGGACATAAAGTTTGATATATCAATACTTGATGAAAAATACCTGTTCCTTATTATGCCTAAGATGTTTGATATTCAGACAGATAGTGAGATGAAGCTCAACCGTCTAGGTTATATGACAATAACAATAAGCTTCTCTTCTGGAGGGTTAACTACCTAAGTTTGAAGTCCAAAAATAAGAGAAAAAAGTGGGCCGCAAGGAAAGCCAACATTTTGACCCTTCCTTTCCAAGGTCAATTAAGATTCAGAACATATGAGAACTTGTACTCTAACATCATGTAACTCAGTAGTGTCCCAAATCTTCTGATCAGAAAGATTATGGGCCAAAGAGGAAGGTGATCAATGATGTAGAGTGTGCCTAAGGGGAGTCACATGGAGACAAAACATTCTCTCAGGCTTTCCCAGAGAACACATTGACCAAGCAATGGCCGTGACTCATCCACATGGCTGACACTGACAAAGGATCTACAATCTGAAGTACAGGGTCTCAGGATAAATCCTGAGAGTATTTGACTGACCTTATCAGATCTAAAAGCTACAATTCTTGTTACATAGGTCTTGTTTTATCTTGGTCTTAACCATCCAGCAGAAAAGTAAGAAAATGAAGCACAGAAATAAAGCCATGTTGTTATGTTGAGTTGTAGGTAACTTAGGTCAACAACTTCTGATATTGCCAGTCAAGTGGAAGACCCATTACTATTATGGACTCCAGGACTATTTTGGAATATTTTGCTGAGTTCACACACCTATAGTATTTAAATTATGGAACTTTAAAAAAAAAGGGGGATATAGATGAATGTCCATTTTGTACTGTGTATTCAAAATGGTTAAGATAGGTAGATAGATAGATGGATAGATGATAGATAGATAGATAGATAGATAGATAGATAGATAGATAGATAGATTCTCTTAATTCAAGGAATAGAGGGATTTGTTCTAATTGTGTTTCTAAATAAGATATCATTTCTGCATCTTGTACAAGAAACAACCACTAGGAGGGCAGTATTCAATGTGTTAATCATTGGAACTGTCCTACCAATTTGATTTGAAACTGTGTCATTGCTCTTTATTTCTCAATAAAATTATGGGAAAAAACAGAAATGAATAGGTAGAAAACAAATAAATCAAACCCCGCCACACAATTTCAATCTTTATATTAGTTTTATAATAAAATGTACAAATGTGTAGAGAGGATAAAAGATATCTTCCCAGAATATTCCACTTATGTGATACCCAATTCAAGTTCAATATAATGAAAATAAAATTTATAAATGGTATGTAGTGGAAATGCAATAAAGCATAAAATTAAGATCACTTATTTTAATATCAACTGAAATATCCGTCTGCACAAAAATATATTACTTGAATCATATACACTGCCATTCCTACAGATAACCCACTACTATTGTGGAGTACTGGTCTACATTGGATTATTTTGCTGAATTCATGCACCTACAGTATCAAAATGGCAATGAATTACACATCTCTGTCAAAGCTAAACAAAAGAAAGGGATCCAAATGAAGGACTATTTTGTATCTGTATACAGAAAATAGTCAGGATAGATATACAGCTACTTTTTCTTAGTGCAGTGAGAAGAAATATTTGTCCTAATTTTGTTTGGACATGATATCGTGTCTGCATCTTGTACTATGAATAACCACTACAAAGACAACAATTTGCAATGTCTTAATTATTGGAAGCATCTTAATAACCTGTTTTGAAACTGTCTTATTGCTATTTGTTTCTCAATAAAATTAACAAAAA